CAGGCCTCAGGTGGCTAGGCCGGGAACTGCAGCTCTTTCTGCCTCCCTGTCAGGTGCTTCTCCCCTGCAGCCTCCGTGTGTCTGTCTGGGAAGTGCAGTCTATCGCAGGCTTGGGCTGCAGACAACTTTGATATTGGGGGACTCAACTCCCAGGAATTGGGGGTTCAGGGTGGGGATGGCTGGAGGCCCCAGGCCTGATTCCCCAGACTATCCTAGAGCAGGAGGAGCCAAAGACCAAGCTAGGGAAGGACCAGGGCAAAATAGAGGTCCAGGCTGGCATGCATAGCAGAGAGGACAAGACAGAGACAGGGACAGAGGTAGCTGGCGTGTCCCCAGGCATCCTGAGAACGCTGCAGGCTCTGCAGCAGCCTCAGGTTAGGAAAGGCTGGGGCCTTGCCCTGCCAGGCCAGGAGCATAATGCACCGAGATGCTCCCCACACAAGGACCCCTTGTCCCAAGAACCTACTGACAGGCAGAAGGTCGGACATATGATAAGAAGCAGGCCTCGTGCTTAGGGCTCCCGGGGGCAGGGACCAGGTCCCCATTCACACATATCCCAGGGATGCCCCCAGGGAGCCAGGAGATGCCAACACAGCCCATGACCTGCCAGATGGTGGCTTGCTGGGGGACCCTGACTCAGGCTTCATCTGCCCGTCTGAGAAGGGGATTGGCAGGAAAGGACACAGGGCTCTTTCTATGCCCGCAGGTCTCAAGAAGGACAGAGCCGCCCCACCCTGGGCCCAGGCAACAGCGCCCTGCACATCAGAGCCCTGTTCTGGGAGGAAGGGTGGGCAGCTGAGGGCTTCTCCACCTTCGGCCGACCTCTCGGATGGGCGCCAGCGGGAGGGGCAGGAGCCCTCCAGGAACACACGGCTGCTTTCACACCGCCAGGCCCAGCCAAGCAGCAGCGGGCAAGCACTAAGGGGCAGGACAGGCCTGGGCACAATCGCTGCTCTGTCCTGGCAGCTCCCGGCCCACACGCGCACACACACAAACACATAGCCTTATGCAAACTCAGAGCACACCCCATCAGCCACCCACTTGCACACACTCGCGAGTACACATCTGCATAGCCCTGGATACTTCCCTATGCACCTTCCTCCAGACAGGGAAGCCCAGGCCCATGGCTGTCCTCCTGCTCCTCTGCATGTCCCCAGGTCTTCAGGGCATCCTGCTCCTTCTATGCTGAAGGCTTGTTATGACCCTGGCAGCCCACACCATTAACCCCCTGCACATCCATACTGGAGAGCAGACTCCTGGACCTGGAAGGACCTCCAGGATCAGTCCCCACAGTCAGAAGTGAGAAGGGGTGGGAAGGAGTGTCCATTTCACAGAATGGTACCACTGAGACCTGAACTGCCAGTGAATAGAATAGTCTACCCAACTGCTGCAAGTCTGGGCTGGTGTTTTGATAAATCTTTGGGGTCAAGAGAATGGAGGGCAGGTCTCAGCTGTGCTGATGCCTCGTCACCACCCATCTCTCCCCACTACACTGCCCTAATCTGGCCACTACACCTGTCATGGCTCACACTGCTTTTCCCTTCTGCTTCTCTACCTTCTAGAGCCACTAGGGGATGAGGGGGCAGAAACATCCTCTGCCCCACTGAAGGAGGACCTGTGTATTCCCACTGGCCCCTCACATGGCCTCACTGCCCACCTCAGAGATGGTCTCTTCCCCTTCCTCTCTTGGTCTGTGTCACCCTCACCTCCTCCAGGAAGTTTTCCAGAGTTGGCTCAATTGGAGGCTTCTTTATCCTGCACCCCTCTACATTCAAAGCCCCCTTCAGCTGCTCCCCCACCTCCAGGACAGGGATTCCGGGTTCTTGCAACTGTAGCCCATCAGAGGGTAAGAGGGGCAGAAGAAGAACAGAAGTAGGGGGAGAGGCTCTGTCAGAGTTTCCAAAGCCCTGGCCAGCGAGGCCTCTGCGGGGACAAGGGGCTGCCTGGCCTGTGTACTCCAGAGCACAAGGCAGCCAGTGTGAGCCCCTCCTCGCCTGTACCCACAGGAAACAGCAGGGCCCAGCCCCTCAATAGGCCCATTCACACCCCAGCTCTCTGGAAAGTACCTCTGCTTCCTGCCACCCTCCCACAGTGGCCCAACAGACTGCTGCTCTCTCCTGTGGGAGGGGGCTGGCCGCAGGTGGCTGAGTGGTTAGGGCCAGCCATGTACTTCAGTTCCTGCCTGGACCAGCGCCCTGGCTTCCACCACATCCCAACCAGTTTGCGTCCACCTTCAGTGCAAGGGAGTGTGGGTGGGCTGGCTCCCACCAGGGGAGGAGAGGCGCCCCCTTCCTTGTGGGGGACCAGCAGGTCAATGTTTCGCAACAGGATTTCTGGAGGGGAGGGGGAGTCTTGATTTGACATGTTTACTTCTTTCCATGATATAAATATTCTCCCTGTGGGCAACGTCACCTGGCTCACCAAATTCCTGAAACTTTAGCACTTGGCTCTGGCCAGCTGCTGTGAGCCACCCCAGCCCATCTCCATGGTGGCTCCATCCTGTGGGGGCTGCATGCCCCATCCTCTGTGCCACGGCTGCCCTCAGTTTAGCATGCTGTGTTGTGCTCTTAAGAAGCAATGACCTGCCAGGCATGATGACACATGCCTCTCATCCCAGCAGCTTGGGAGGCTGAAGCAGGAGGATCATGAGTTCAAAGCCAGCCTCAGCAAGTTAGCAAGGCCCTATCTCAAAGTAAAACACAAAAAGGGCTGGGGATGTGGCTCAGTGGTTAAGCGCCCCTGGGTTCAATCCCTGGTACAAGAAGCAGCAGAAGCAATAGCCATGCCTATAGGTGCCCCTATAGGCACTCACCACCTGCCAGTTTCCTGGTCTGTCCCTTACTGGCCTGAGGTGTTCTGGGCCTGCTGAGCCCACTGGGCTGCACCTGCCCAGATGCTTTAGCATTCTTCCTTGATCCTGTTAGCTCCCAGACAAGGTTCCAGTGTTACTAGCAGTGCTGGCAAGAGAAGGTGCTGGAGGGGATTCCAGCCCAGCCTAGGGAAGAGCGATATCTTTCTTGCACATCCCTCCCGGGGCACACAAGGCTCAGGCCCCTCCAGTGGCTGATGCTACTTCCTCAGGCGGATGTCAGCTGGCTCAGGCTGGCTGGGGACCAGCACGTGTGTGGCTGGTGCCAGATTATCCCTATCAAGGCCATCAGCCTGTGCTTATTCACGGGGTTTCAGGGGAGCCCAACAGAGCTGAGTCCTCCTCTCCCCCATTCCTGTCTGCCCCCTCCCACCCTGCCCTAGCTCTGGACATCTGCAGGCAGAGTCAAGGTTACAATTATTCTAATCACTGCAAAAGGAATGGACCAGAGATGGTGGTGGCAGGTTGGAGATCGAGGGAGGCTAATTTTAGGAAACTGCCTAAAGAAAATAGCAACTAATAAAAGGAAGTGTCCCAGTGTGGTACAAGAGGAACCCTACGCAGTGACCAAACAGGCTCTGCTGTTTTGGGAGCCCTCTTTGGCCTGCTCAGCAGACCCTTTGGCCTCCCACACCGTGTCTTCAGCCTCGGGCCCCAGATTGGCCTGAGGAAGGAGGATCTCGGCTGTTGTCATCCCAAACTCCTTGGCCATGGTGGAAACATAGGGGTGGATCTGAGTGCTCACCAGGGACTGGTAACAGCTTTGCAGCAGGAAGCAATAGCAGTGGGGATGGAGGAAGTTTTGGCCAATTTTGGGTCTGACACTGCAAGTGGTTTCCATCTGGCCTCTGAGCCTTTGCTCCTTGGCAGACTCAGACCAACAAGCCGCTACCCCCACCCCAAAATGCAGCTGTTAAGAATGGCCTAGGAGAAGAGCCGGGTGGGTGGGCTGTCTGTCTGAGAACCACCATCAGGCATCAGCATGGCCCCAGCCAACCATGAAGGTAGACGTGGTGTGACAAGGATTGCCCAGGAACCCTTGCTGGTATGGTGCCCCTGGGGGCACCCAGGAGAAGGAATGTTAGCAGGGATTGGCTTGGATTAGAAGTGATTCTTCTGACACTCCATTTCAAGGCTCTGTGACCACCAAACGAGGTTTTCAGGCCAGGGATGGTTTCCTATGGACCAGGGAGGTTCCACACTGAGGCGAGAGTCTCTGGGGCCCCAGGGAGGAGAACCAGAGCTGTCTGAGGCCTTCTGCCCTACACCTCTAAGAAAGGGATCTAGGTTACTGGAAACTTCTGGTCTGGCCTTCTTCATGTCCAAGGCCTGGACTGGACACAAGGTGAAACTGTGCCTTCTGCTGGGAGCAAGAGGATTCCGGGAGCTGGCCAATTCTCTCAGGCTGGGCCACAGAGAACCAGGAGGGTACCTCAGCCCAGGACCCCCTCCCTGCAGCCACCTGCCTATCTCTGCAGCACCTTTCCTCCTCCAGGCAAGGTGTGAGCCTTGACCACAGCTCCCTCTCTCACCCAGCCTCCTTCTTCGGTGAGAACCACCTGGAGGTGCCCGTGGCCTCTGCCCTGACCAACATAGACCTACAGCTGCAATTCTCCACGTCTCAGCCTGAAGCCCTTCTTCTCCTGGCAGCAGGCCAGGCTGACCACCTCCTGCTGCAACTCTACTCCGGACACCTGCAGGTCAGTGACATTTCTCTGGGACCAGGGACAGGATTCTTTCTCAAGCTTAGAATGATGTCCCCCTGGTCACGTGGCCTTATGCAAGTACTTTCACCTTGGGGTCTCAAGTGCTGCACTGCAAATGGGTAGCAGCAGCCCAGAAAATGTGACTCCCTCATAAAAAGACTCTGCCCCCCAGCCACCTCCAGCCTGGCCCCTCACCATGTCCCTAGCTGGACTTCAGCTCTGAGCACCCTGAACCGGTTCCCATTCCCTGGCCATCAGCGACTTCTGGCTGCAGGCCTTTGCTCCCACACCACCTCTACCGTGTGTTCACCCTTCCCTGGGCCTGCAGAGCCTGGGATCCTTCCCATCTCAATGCAAACAGCCTGTTTTATTTAGCTTTTTTGCTGCTGTGACTAAAAGACCTGACCAGAACAATTGTAGGGGAAGAAAAGTTTATTTGGGGGCTCACATTTTCAAAGGTCTTAGTGCACAGACGACAGCTCCTTTCCTCGGGGCTCAAGGTGGGGCAAAGCATCATGGAGGAAGAGCGTGGCGCAGGAAGCTGTTCACATTCATGATCAGAAGGCAGAAAGAGAGACTCCACTTGCCAGATACAAAATATGTACCCCAAAGCCATGCCCCCAATGTTCCACCTCCTCCAGCCACACCCCACCTGCCTCGAGCTACCACCCAGTTAATCCAATCATGGGATTAATTCACTGATTGGGTTAAGACTCTGACAACCCCATCATTTCTCCCGTGAATTGCATTGTCTCACACATGTGCTTTTGGGGGACACCTCACATAACACATCACTTTGCCCAGAGAGTCCCCTGGTGCTTACCCTACCTAGGCCCCCTCTCCTGAGCTCCCACTGTCCACTGGGCATCCCCTGGCACTGCATTAGTTAGCCTGCGTGGCTATTGTTCATCCATTGATGGTAATGGCCAGTATTGCCAACTGAGCCTCCTCATTTTTCCCTTGATCCTTTAACACAAGCTTTATTACCAAGGAATCTTCTGGCTCTCCCTCGAGTCTTCCCTCTAATCATGAAGAGGGTGAGAACCCAGGGTCTTAGTCCACATCTGGCAGATCCATCTGCTCCACACCCCAGTGGGAAAAGGACTGTGGCCTGATCAGTCTGCTGACACCATTGCTTCTCACTGCCACAAGGTGTCACTGTGGAACTCGGGCCCGGTACGGCCTGGTGCTGATGCAGTTCTGCCCTGCAGGAATGATGGTGGTGGCCACCCCTGTAGAGGGTGCTCCATACTGGGACTCCCAAGGTCCCATGCTCTACCACCACCCATTCTACTGTCTGGTTGTGGAAGTATCAGTACAGCCAGTGCTGGTGTTGATGTTATGGAAGACCCCCACCTACACAGAGTCCCCCCAAGTCAGGGAGATTTTACTTTACTAAACTATCAAAACACTGATTGAGCCCCCATCCCTGAACAGTGAGCCCAGCTGCCTTTAGTCACCCCGATTGCCTTCAGTGACTTTGCCTTTCTTAGGGAGTCTTTCAGACGATTCCCAGGTGTTCATTTTTTTGGAGGTAGAATTTTCTAGAACCCATGGTGATTCTTCTGGCACCTCTCACCCAAGGAAAGAGGAAGAAGAATAAAGATATATGAATTGAATCTTTGGGAGAACATCTTGCTCTGCAGCAGTCCCCTGTGAGCAGGAATCAGATTCACAACAGGGTCCCCGAGTCTCTTCAGACCTGGCTGAGTTCCTTTTGCTGAGTTTTCTGGAGATGAGTAAAGAAATGGCAAGAAGGCAACAAGGGCCCGTGTCCTAGGGCCCCTTTTTCAGGGAACCCCAAGTGTGAGGGACACACTATGCTTTTGTAGGGGAAGTGGTGGATTCAGGGTGCCATCTCCGGCTCTGATCTCCCTGTCTCTCCTCAGGTCAGACTCGTCCTGGGCCACGAGGAGCTGAGGCTGCAGACACCAGGGGAGATGCTGCTCAGCGACTCGGCCCCCCACACTGTGGTGCTCACCATTTCCGACAGCTGGGCCCTGCTCTCTGTCGATGGGCTTCTGAACACCTCCGCCCCAGTCCAGGGAGCGCCCCTGGAGGTCCCCTATGGGCTCTTTGTGGGGGGCTGTGGGAGCCTCAGCCTGCCTTACCTGAGAGGAACCAGCCGACCCCTGAGGGGCTGCCTCCATGTAGCCACCCTCAATGGCCGTAGCCTCCTCAGGCCACTGACCCCTGATGTTCCTGACGGCTGTGCTGAGGAGTTCTCTGCTGGCGATGATGTGGCCCTGGGCTTCTCTGGGCCCCACTCACTGGCTGCCTTCCCTGCCTGGAGCACTCAGGACGAAGGCACGCTGGAGTTTACGCTCACCACCCAGAGCCGGCAGGCACCCTTGGCCTTCCAGGCAGGGGGCCGTCCCGGGGACTTCATCTATGTAGACATATTCGAGGGCCACCTGCGGGCTGTGGTTGAGAAGGGCCAGGGCACCGTGCTGCTTCACAACAGCGTGCCTGTGGCCGACGGACAGCCCCATGAGGTCAGCATCCACATGGATGCTCACCGGCTGGAAATCTCTGTGGACCAGTACCCCACACGTACGTCCAACCGTGGGGTCCTCAGCTACCTGGAGCCACGTGGCAGTCTCCTCCTGGGGGGACTGGACACAGAGGCCTCCCGTCACCTCCAGGAACACCGCCTGAGTCTGGCCCCGGGGGCTGCCAACGCCTCTCTGCTGGGCTGCATGGAGGACCTCAGTGTCAATGGCCAGAGGCAGGGGCTCCGGGAAGCCCTGCTCACTCGCGGCATGACGGCCGGCTGCAGGCTGGAGGGAGACGAGTACGAGGAAGACGGCTACGGGCCCTATGAGGCTTTCTCCACCGTGGCACCTGAGGCTTGGCCAGCCATGGAGCTGCCTGAGCCATGCATCCCCGAACCCGGACTGCCTCCTGTCTTTGCCAACTTTACCCAACTGCTGACCATCAGCCCACTTGTGGTGGCCGAGGGTGGCACGGCCTGGCTTGAGTGGCGGCATGTGCAGCCCACACTGGACCTGACTGAAGCTGAGCTCCGCAAATCCCAGGTGCTGTTCAGTGTGAGCCGGGGGGCACGCCATGGCGAGCTGGAGCTGGACATCCCTGGTGCCCAGGCCCGGAAGATGTTCACTCTACTGGACGTGGTGAACCGCAAGGCCCGCTTCGTCCACGATGGCTCTGAGGACACCTCCGACCAGCTGGTGCTGGAGGTGTCAGTGACAGCTCGGGCACCTGTGCCCTCTTGTTTACGGAGGGGTCAAACTTACCTCCTACCCATCCAGATCAACCCTGTCAATGACCCACCCCGAATCATCTTCCCGCACGGGAATCTCATGGTGATCCTGGAACACACACAGAAGCCTCTGGGGCCCGAGATTTTCCAGGCTTATGATCCCGACTCTGCCTGCGAGGGCCTCACCTTCCAGCTCCTAGGTGCTTCCACCCACCTCCCTGTGGAGCATCGAGACCAGCCTGGGGAGCCAGCCACGGAGTTCTCCTGCTGGGAGCTAGAGGCCGGTAGCATCGTGTACGTCCACCGCGATGGCCCTGCACAGGACCTGACATTCCGTGTCAGTGATGGGCTGCAGGCTAGCCCCCCAGCCACACTGAAGGTAGTGGCTGTCCGGCCAGCCATCCGGATCCGCCACAGCACGGGGCTGCGCCTGGCCCAGGGCTCTGCCACCCCCATCTTGCCCGCCAACCTCTCAGTGGAGACCAACGCTGTGGGGCAGGATGTGAGTGTGCTGTTCCGAGTCACGGGCACCCTGCGGTTTGGGGAGCTGCAGAAGCAGGGGGCAGGCGGGGCGGAGGGCGCTGAGTGGTGGGCCACGCAGGCGTTCCACCAGCGCGATGTGGAGCAGGGCCGGGTGAGGTACCTGAGCACCGATCCCCAGCACCACTCTGAGGACACCGTAGAGAACCTGGCCCTGGAGGTGCAGGTGGGCCAGGAGACTCTGAGCAATCTGTCCTTCCCAGTGAGCATCCAGAGAGCCACGGTGTGGATGGTGCGGCTAGAGCCGCTGCACACCCAGAACACCCGGCAGGAGGTCCTCACCGCAGCCCACCTGGAGGCTGCCGTGGAGGAGGCAGGCCCGGGGCCCCGGTCCTTCCACTACGAGGTGACTCAGGCCCCCAGGAAAGGCAACCTTCAACTACAGGGCAGGAGGCTGGCAGATGGCGAGAGTTTCAGCCAGGATGACCTGCAGGCTGGACGGGTGACCTATGGGGCCACAGCACGGGCCTCAGAGGCAGTCGAGGACTCCTTCCGCTTCCGGGTCACGACCCCTCCACACTTCTCCCCGCTCTATACTTTCCCTATCCACATCGGTGGTGACCCAGATGCTCCGGTGCTCACCAACGTCCTCCTCTCCGTGCCCGAGGGTGGTGAGGGTGTCCTCTCTGCTGACCACCTCTTTGTCAAGAGTCTCAACAGTGCCAGCTACCTCTATGAGGTCATGGAGCGACCCCGCCATGGAAGGTTGGCTTGGCGGGGGCCACAGGACCAGGCCACCATGGTAACATCCTTCACCAACGAAGACCTGCTGCGTGGCCGGCTGGTCTACCAGCATGATGACTCCGAGACCACAGAAGATGATATCCCATTTGTGGCCACCCGCCAGGGCGAGGGCAGCGGTGACATGGCCTGGGAGGAGGTTCGGGGTGTCTTCCGAGTGGCCATCCAGCCTGTGAATGACCACGCCCCTGTGCAGACCATCAGCCGTGTCTTTCACGTGGCCCGAGGTGGACAGCGGCTGTTGACGACGGACGACGTGGCCTTCAGCGATGCCGACTCGGGCTTCACTGATGCTCAGCTGGTGCTGACCCGCAAGGACCTCCTCTTTGGCAGCATCGTGGCTGTGGATGAGCCAAGCCGGCCCATTTACCGCTTCACACAGGAGGACCTCCGGAAGAGGCAGGTCCTGTTTGTGCACTCAGGGGCTGACCACGGCTGGCTGCAGCTGCAGGTGTCCGATGGGCAGCACCAGGCCACCGCGATGCTCGAGGTGCAGGCCTCCGCACCCTACCTCCGTGTGGCCAATGGCTCCAGCCTGGTGGTCCCTCAAGGAGGCCAGGGCACCATCGATACCGCAGTGCTCCATCTGGACACCAACCTGGACATCCGCAGTGGGGATGAGGTCCATTATCATGTCACGGCTGGCCCTCGCTGGGGGCAGCTGCTCCAGGCTGGCCAGCCAACCACCAGCTTCTCCCATCAGGATTTGGTGGATGGGGCCATTCTCTACAGCCACAATGGCAGCCTCAGCCCCCGTGACACCCTGTCCCTCTCTGTGGAAGCAGGGCCAGTGCACACAGATGCCACCCTACAGGTGACCATTGCTCTGGAGGGCCCAGTGGCCCCACTGCAACTGGTTCAGCACAAAAAGATCTACGTCTTCCAGGGGGAAGCAGCTGAGATCAGAAGGGACCAGCTGGAGGTGAGGAGCTGGGTGGTCCAGGCTGGGCCAGGTGGGGCCTCCATTGCGGCCTCCTGCCGAGCAAGCTTGTGTGCTGGGGATGTGAGTGCTGGCTTCTGGGGTGTGTGTGCCCTTGCCTTGGTGTGTACCTGTACATGTTGTGGCCAACAGGTTCTGGGGAACTTGTGGGACACACATCTGCCCATGAGTTGTATGTGCCTTCAGATATACACACGTGTGCGCCTGCTGTGGCTAGCCATGCAGACTCCTGGGCTATAGATAGGCGCTCAGAATCTTTGAAGTGGAGCCCAAGAGTCTGCATTCTAGTAAGTTCCCAGGGAGGTTATCATGGGCACAGAGATTTGAGAGTTGCTGGACGTGGAAACAGGCTTCAGTGTCGCTCAAGTTCCTGCACTCTCAGTTCCTTTTCCAGGACTGACAATCTGTGAAGGGCTTCTCACCACCCAGGAACCTTGCAGCGCAACCACAGGCTGTCTGGCAGGCTCATTGACTTGCTGCGTGACCTCGGGCCAGGCCCTTGCCCTCTCTTGGCTGTATTCTCCTACACTGCCAGTTTCTAAAGCCCTTCTGGTTCTGAGTGTCTGGAGTTTTGGAGAGACTGACCAAACACATCTGGTGTCAGGATGTCCCCCCACTAGAAAAGGCTGCGTTTGAGCCAGGCTTTGAAGAATACAGGGTGTCAATAGCAGGGGAAAGGGATGATATTCCAAGCAGAGGCACAAGATCAGAAATGTGCATTTGGTGGTAGTTTTAGCCTTGTTTTTTATGGCTCCATTTCTTTAGATGAGGGAGCACCCCACAGCTTTTGGGCAGGTCCCCCTCCAGACTCTGCCATCTGGAGTGTGGGAGCCTATGCCTCTAGGAAGGACTGGGCGCCCTCTGGTGGTCAGAAATCGTAACAGCAGGGTGGGGGACAGAAGGCTCCAGGCAAACCAGGCATCACCTTAGCAAAGTCTGAGTGCGAGCGCGCGCGCGTGCGTGTGTGTGTGTGTGTGTGTGTGTGTGTGTGTGTGTGTGTGTGTGAGAGAGAGAGAGAGAGAGAGAGAGAGACGGCCCCCTCTGTGACCTGCTGTGAGTCCCCACTGCCTTCTGTTGACAGGCAGCCCAGGAGGCAGTACCACCAGCAGACATCGTGTTCTCAGTGAAGAGCCCCCCAAGTGCCGGCTACCTGGTGATGGTGTCACAGGGTGCCTCAGCGGATGAGCCGCCCAGGCTGGACCCCGTGCACAGCTTCCCTCAGGAGGCCGTGGATGCGGGCCGCGTCCTGTACCTACACTCCCGCCCTGAGGCCTGGCGTGATACCTTCTCCCTGGACGTGACCTCTGGCCTGGGTGCTCCCCTCGAGGGCATCCTTATGGAGCTGGAGGTGCTGCCCACTGCCATCCCCCTGGAGGCACAGAACTTCAGTGTTCCCGAGGGTGGTACCCGCACCCTGGCCCCTCCGCTGCTCCGTGTCACGGGGCCTTACTTCCCC